TTCTGACAGACGAAGAATTGGTTCGTTTAAAGACCATGCTGGATCACTGGGCTGGCAGCTTTTTATTAAAAGCCAACATCTACTGTATTTCCAGCTGCTGACTTGATTTATTTATTTAACAAGACTAAAGATTTGGTGATCACATTTTCAGCATCATTATTTTTGTTTAATTGCAGTTGTAAGTCTGATTAGTTGAAAAAGGAAACTCATGTTTGATTAAACATACAGAAAAGATAAAAAGATGGAACATGCTTTTTTTTTTTTTTTTTTTTCGTACTGCTCCATTTCCCATGCTGGTCTCTTATAATAAGGAGCCACCGATTGGCTGTCAGTGTTCACATGATCAGAAGCCAGTCATGGTGACCACAGGTTTGGCTCAGCCTACATGTACATAATGGCAAACTTTCCCCTGGGTTCGCCCTGATCCACTGATGACCGCTCCAGTCCACAGCTGCTGGTACTCATGTGGCTGAAGCTTCTACTGCCAGCGGCTTCTTCCTCCTTTATCCTTGGGGCAGCCAGTGATTATGTAACTCCCACACATGTGGGATGGTGTCGCAATATCCCAGCACTAGGCTTCACTTTTTTGGCATCTCGCAGATGTTGACTGTACATGTCACTGCACAACTGCAGCAGGCAAAAAAAAAGAGAGAAAATGACTAGTATTAAAGAAGGTTGACTGGCCAATGAGACCTACAGAAATAGAGATATATAGATATAGATAGATATAGAGAGAGATATAGATAGAGATAGATAGCTAGATAGAGATTTATAGTTATTTATTTCAGCGCCATCAATTTCCGCAGCGCTTTACATATATATTGTACATTCACATCAGTCCCTAACCCTCAAGGGGTGTACAATCTAAGGTCCCTAACTCACATTCATACATACACATACTAGGGACAATTTAGACAGGAGCCAATTCACCTACCAGCATGTCTTTGGAGTGTGGGAGGAAATCGGAGTACCTGGAGGAAACCCACGCAGGCACAGGGAAAACATGCAAACTCCAGGCAGGTGGTGCCGTGGTTGGGATTCGAACCAATGACCCGAGTACTGCCAGGCAGAAGTGCTAACCATTTAGCCCCTGTGCTGCCTATATATATATATATATATATATATATATATATATATATATATTATAGAAATCTCTATTTAGAGATAGAGATATATATCTCTCTATCTATCTAAATAGAGATTATGATATACAGTGGGGATCGAAAGTTTGGGCACCCCAGCTAAAAATTTGTATTAATGTGCATAAAGAAGCCAAGGAAAGATGGAAAAATCTCCAAAAGGCATCAAATTACAGATTAGACATTCTTATAATATGTCAACAAAAGTTAGATTTTTATTTCCATTATTTACACTTTCAAAATAACAGAAAAACAAAAAAATGGCGTCTGCAAAAGTTTGGGCACCCTGCAGAATTTATAGCATGCACTGCCCCCTTTGCCAAGCTGAGACCTGCCAGTGTCATGGATTGTTCTCAATCATCGTCTGGGAAGACCAGGTGATGTCAATCTCAAAGGTTTTAAATGCCCAGACTCATCTGCCCTTGCCCCAACAATCAGCACCATGGGTTCTTCTAAGCAGTTGTCTAGAAAACTGAAACTGAAAATAGTTGACGCTCACAAAGCTGGAGAAGGCTATAAGAAGATAGCAAAGAGTTTTCAGATGTCAATATCCTCTGTTGGGAATGTAATTAAGAAATGGCAGTCATCAGGAACAGTGGAAGTTAAAGCAAGATCTGGAAGACCAAGAAAAATATCAGACAGAACAGCTCGCAGGATTGTGAGAAAAACAATTCAAAACCCACGTTTGACTGCACGATCCCTCCAGAAAGATCTGGCAGACACTGGAGTTGTGGTACACTATTCCACTATAAAGAGATACTTGTACAAATATGGTCTTCATGGAAGAGTCATCAGAAGAAAACCTCTTCTACGTCCTCACCACAAAAATCATCGTTTGAACTTTGCAAACGAACATATAGACAAGCCTGATGCATTTTGGAAACAGGTTCTGTGGACCGATGAGGTTAAAATTGAACTTTTTTGGCCGGAATGAGCAAAAAGCTGAAGTTAAAGAGAGGATGGCTTCTACAAATGGATAATGATCCTAAACACACCTTGAAATCCACGGGGGATTACATCAAGAGGCGTAAACTGAAGGTTTTGCCATGGCCTTCACAATCTCCTGACCTCAACATAATTGAAAATCTATGGATAGACCTTAAAAGAGCAGTGCGTGACAGACAGCCCAGAAATCTCAAAGAACTGGAAGACTTTTGTAAGGAAGAATGGGCAAAGATACTTCAAACAAGAATTGAAAGACTCTTGGCTGGCTACAAAAAGCGTTTACAAGCTGTGATACTTGCCAAAGGGGGCAGTACAAGATATTAACTCTGCAGGGTGCCCAAACTTTTGCAGACGCCATTTTTTTGTTTTCTGTTATTTTGAAAGTGTAAATGATGGAAATAAAATCTAACTTTTGGTGACATATTATAAGAATTTCTAATCTGTAATTTGATGCCTTTTGGAGATTTTTCCATCTTTCCTTGGCTTCTTTATGCACATTAATACAAATGTTTAGCTGGGGTGCCCAAACTTTCGATCCCCACTGTGTATGTATGTATGTGTGTGTGTATATATGAATGTATACATATATCTAATTAGAGATTGATCTCTCTCTCTCTCTCTCTCTATTTAGATGTACATATATATATTTTTTTAATTTGTGTTCAATTTTGCTTTAAATAAGCCCGTCCCTTGTTTATTGCTTGAAATACAGTTTTTCCTTGTATTGCCAATTCAGATTCTATTCAGATGTAAGTAAATGTTTCCATTTATGATCTCATTCACTGTTCTAGTATAAATGGAATGATTAGTTCCTGGACTCTGCCGCTCTGAAGTTCTATCTATGAGAACCCTTCGGATCTCGGGGCCTGTGAGCGGCCTGCTTGAGTTCTCCAGACGGTGAGAATGTGAGCTTCACAGATTGCGCTACAAGAACTGAGGAGATGAGTAACATACAAATGTCTTTCTTTCTAATGCAGGCCATAGATGGGGAGAAAAACGGCAGATTTTCGGCCGATTAACAAACTATCGGTCGGTCTAAAAAACTTACCTGACCACCAATTATTACGAAAATCGGCCGATTAATGAGTAACCTATAACGGGAAATGATGTCATTTTGTGACCTTTGTGATCCTTTTTCGGAAAACGATCGTTCGTTTTTTGACCATCAATGAGGATAAAGTCGGGCGTTTTTCGAAAATTTTCCAACATCACCGATAATCTGAAAGTCCAAAATACACGAAAAACGGCCGACAAAATCGTCCACTAACGATAAGATAATCGGCCGGTTTTATTTTCGGACGAAAAAAATCGGCCGTTTTTCTCCCCATCTATGGCCTGCATAACTCCCTCTACTTTTCTCTCACTTCATCTTTGGATATTTAGGCTCCATGCACACTAGCGGTTTTTAAAGCTCCTAGAAGCTTTTATCAACATTTTTTTTTTCTGCTCCTAGAAGCTAAATGGTGTTCTCCTATGTGTCCATGCACACTACATTAGGTTATTAGCATTTTTTGATCTTCTGCATCTAGGAGCAGAAAACAAATAGTTTTTGTAGAGTTTTTGGAGCATTTATCCAGCAGAAAAAAACACTAAATGCGCCGAACATCCTGTTTTTGTTTTTTTATCCCCTCTACATGTACTGCAAAACTGCTAATAAAAAGGTGAACGCTACTAAAACAAGCTATTACCAGCGTTTTTGTCTAGCATTTTTCGAGCTTAAAAAAGGGCTAGTGTGCGCGGAGCCTGAAACGTCTCAATCATACTATTGTCATGGCACGGGTGATACCTGGTTTGTATTGTACTATTCCTGTATTGTCCCCTCTTTATTACATGCACTGTATTGCTGCTGAATTTACTACAGTGCCGCTGGTGGGAGGATGTAATATGGAGCCATCATGTCCACCTTTAGTTGGCTGACCTTGGTCACATGGTATTGATGAGCATGGTGATAATTACCAACACAAGGCTACTTTTGCCTCTGGAGATGAGGGTAGGTGCGATGGAAGGAATTTATCTTATTTTACAATTTTCTTCAGTCTTTTTTTTTTTTTTTTTTTTTTTTTTTTTTAGGTTCCTCTCCCTTCTGTTAGGCAAGGTTCACACTAGCCAGTAGTGGTGCACCGAAATGCAAATTCTGGTGCCGAAACCGATACAGAAAATTCAGAATGCATGTGGCCGAAAAACCGAAACTGAAATGTCTGCGTATGTGGGGGTGGGAGGCTCCAATTTTGTTTTTTTTTTTTTTTATTTTTTTTTTTACTTTTTCATGTATATTTTTATATATTTTTTTTTTAACTATTATGATTTTATTGCTATCACATAGGGGACCAATAGTCCCCTAGATCAGGGCTTAAAATTTTGAGTCTAGACCTACTAGCCAGGCACAAACTTTACTCTCCACCAGTTGCCCTCCCCAACCACGCCCCCTTAAAGCTTATGAAATTACGTTTTTCTTTAAAATAAAGAGTCCAAAATATAAAACTGTATACAGTAATGTATATCCCCCTCACCTGTACCCATTATAGTGATAAATGTATACAGTAATGTATATCCCCCTCCCCTGTACTCCATTATAGTGATATGACGTGTATACAGTACTGTATATCCCCCCCTCCTCTGTACTCCATTATAGTGATATGACGTGTATACAGTAATGTATTATCCCCCCTCCCCTGTACTCCATTATAGTGATATGACGTGTATACAGTAATGTATATCCCCCTCCCCTGTACTCCATTATAGTGATATGACGTGTATACAGTACTGTATATCCCCCCCTCCTCTGTACTCCATTATAGCGATATGACGTGTATACAGTAATGTATATCCCCCTCCCCTGTACTCCATTATAGCGATATGACGTGTATACAGTAATGTATATCCCCCTCCCCTGTACTCCATTATAGCGATATGACGTGTATACAGTAATGTATATCCCCCCTCCCCTGTACTCCATTATAGTGATATGACATGTATACAGTAATGTATATCCCCCCTCCCCTGTACTCCATTATAGTGATATGACGTGTATACAGTAATGTATATCCCCCTCCCCTGTACTCCATTATAGCGATATGACGTGTATACAGTACTGTATATCCCCCCCTCCCCTGTACTCCATTATAGCGATATGACGTGTATACAGTAATGTATATCCCCCTCCCCTGTACTCCATTATAGCGATATGACGTGTATACAGTAATGTATATATCCCCCTCCCCTGTACTCCATTATAGCGATATGACGTGTATACAGTAATGTATATCCCCCTCTCCTGTACTCCATTATAGTGATATGACATGTATACAGTAATGTATATCCCCCCCCCTGTACTCCCATTATAGCGATATGACGTGTATACAGTAATGTATATCCCCCTCCCCTGTACTCCATTATAGCGATATGACATGTATACAGTACTTACTCCTCGAGTCCCCCGTGGCAGTGGAGAGGGTGTCTCCTCACAGCGGAGGAGAGCGGACCTCTCCTGCACCTGTCCCCTCAGCGGTGGTGCCGAGGAAACCGGAACTCTGCTTTACAATGAGGCTTGGAGTGCAGCCGCTCCATCATCTGTGCTCACCGCTAGAGAATTTCTCCTCGCATTTGGCGAATAATGGGCGAGCGGCTTTTTCAAGCCCTGCCCTCGGTGATAGCATATGAGTGTGACAGGTCCTCTTTGTATACAGAGAGGCTCCCTCACTGGATGTCACTATATGTCGGTTCCGATTTTTAAATGCAATTTTTTTATTATTATTATACAGTATTTATAAAGCGCCAATAGTTCGCTCAGCGCTGTACATTACAAAGGGGGACAGAACATGTGACAGAACAATACCAATACAATGCAAAACATGAGGGGATCGAGGGCCCTGCTCTTTCGAGTTACAATCTAGGAGAATTGCCAGTTTTTTTTTTTTTTTTTTTTTTTTTCCTCCACTATAGCTCACATAATTAGCTCTTGCTTTTCCTGAGGCTAAAGGAAACAATGTTTCTTTTATCTCGAAATAAACTAAAAGCAAACTTTTTTTTTTCTTTTAGCTGTGGGGAAATTAACAGCTGATTCTGTGCGCTATGGTGAAAAAAAAAAAGGCAGGTAATTACATTCAAAAACTGTCACTGACATATAGTGACAGCCACTGTATACACTGCTCCTCGCCTGCCTTTCTCCGACACCCCCCCCCCCCCCACAACATCTCTGCAGTACACACAGTCCCCTGTAACTGATAAATTTTTCCTATTGGCAGAATGCCTATAGCGCTATTTTCGGGCGATAAGTTTCGGTGGCCGAAATTTCAGTGCATCCTTACTAACCAGAGCTGAATGCCTGTTTTGTTTTTTTTTTTTTTTTTTTTTTTTTCTTCTTTTTTTTGACAAATGGCAGTTTATGATGTAGCTAATGCGTTCTAACAACGCTGCTGCCTGTCAACTCCAGTACGTTATGTTAAATTTGCAGCAGACGTGAAGCAACGCGTTGCATGTGACCTTCTCCCAGCTGTCATTTAACCTACCTTTCTCAGCCGCTCCCTCACATCTGCAGTACACACAGTCTCCTGTATCGGCTAAATTTTTCCTATCGGCATTTTATTTTTGTCCGGTATGTTTCGGTGGCCGAAATTTTGATGCATCCCTAGTTTAAAGAGAAAAGTATGGACTTAAAAAGAAAAAAAAATAATTATACTCCCCTAGGGGAAAGCAGCATCGATCTGACACTGCATCTGTCCCCTGATGGGTCTGCAGTGAGAACTGAGCGATCAAACAATGCTGATCGCTCAGCTCTCTTTTGCTCTGAGCAGAGAGCAGTGACTGCCAGTCTCAGGCGCTTTGCTCTGCCCCTCCAGCGCTCACTGGAGCGCTGGGCTGTGGAGGGGCTGGCTCAGGCTCTGGCTCAGGCTCTCAGCAGGTTGCAGAGAGGCTGAGCAAGGTGCCGGTCCAGGCTTCTGGGTGGATCCCAACCATATGGTCGGCATATTTTCAAAGCCTGGACTGGCTGAATGACGTCAGCGGGCTTCCCTCCTGTACCTTACAGAGAAGCAGGGCCAAAATAGCTTTGGCTATACTTCTTATTTAATGCTCATCTTGTGTAGTGGTTTGGAAGGCTGCAGCACTTTTTTATGTTTTTTTTTGTTTTTTTTCCTTTTTTGAGTACAGCTCAGGGCTATTAACCATGCACACGGCTGAGATTGACCTAGTCCCCATTCACTCTTGTAAATAGGGCCTTTAGTGATTTACATGCGGTAGACCCAATAAAATCAAAATCAAAAATTAAATAAAAACCCAAAACGTTTTTATTTTAACGTTTTTATGAAGATCCCTTCAGACGAAGTCCGGAAGTGACGAAACGCGTTAGTGAGTGACGTCATCACGCACAAACGCTAACCAGAAGTGTCGCCGCGGCCATTTTGTTGGTTGGAAACATGTGGTTTTCAACCTAGGACTTGAGAGATCAGTGCTGGAAGCTGGATATCCCTGTTTTATATGTAAGTTTCTATTAAAATCTGTTCCTTTTTATGGATCCTGCTTAAAGAGCCTTTCTTTACTTCTATGAGGAAATACCCTTGAAAATGAAGGATTGAGAGATACGGGCTTTCTATGTCAGCTTATGCCTGAAAATATTGGAAGAGGGTAATAGTACTTGGTATCACTTTTGGCTGGAGTGTAAAGGGTACTAGTACTTAGTATCACTATTCACTTGTGGTTGGAGTGATCACGATTTTTCACGTTTTGGGGTTTTTATTTAATTTTTGATTTTGATTTTATTTTATTTATTCATTGTTTTATTTGGATTGATATATAATTAATTCATTTTGCACAATTTTGATGTGTTTTTGTGTTGTGCACAGAGTGAAGTATATAAGTTTATAATCTTAAGGGTAATACACTATGAATTTTTTCTTTTCTTTTTTCTTTGAGGTTATCACGGAGTATTTAGGATCGTTCACTGGATTTATATAAGAAAATAAATTTTTGAAATATTTTTGGAACTTGGACACTTTGGGCTTATTAATATATTTCTATATATATTTTATATTCTATTTACTTGGAATTATGTGTGGATTTATTTCAACACATTCTGATATTAAGAATAGTGGGAGTTGTTTTGGGGGATTTATATGTGTATCACAAAAAGGATTTATCAGATTGTATACTTTCTAGGGAGAAAGTAGTGTTTTTGTGGTGGGGGTGGAAATATAGGAGTTTATTGATTGACACAGGATAACATGGGGATGGACACATAGGAGAACATGCCGGGGATGGACACATGGGATAACATGCCGGGGATGGAACATAGGATAACATGCCGGGGATGGACACATAGGATAACATGGGGATGGACACATAGGAGAACATGCCGGGGATGGACACATAGGAGAACATGCCGGGGATGGACACATAGGATAACATGGGGATGGACACATAGGAGAACATGCCGGGGATGGACACATAGGAGAACATGCCGGGGATGGACACATAGGAGAACATGCCGGGGATGGACACATAGGAGAACATGCCGGGGATGGACACATGGGATAACATGCCGGGGATGGACACATGGGATAACATGCCGGGGATGGACACATGGGATAACATGCCGGGGATGGACACATAGGAGAACATGCCGGGGATGGACACATGGGAGAATATGCCGGGGATGGACACATGGGAGAACATGCCGGGGATGGACACATGGGAGAACATGCGGGGATGGACACATGGGATAACATGCCGGGGATGGACACATGGGAGAACATGCCGGGGATGGACACATGGGATAACATGCCAGGAATGGACACATGGGATAACATGCCGGGGATGGACACATGGGATAACATGCCGGGGATGGACACATGGGAGAACATGCCGGGGATGGACACATGGGATAACATGCCGGGGATGGACACATAGGAGAACATGCCGGGGATGGACACATGGGAGAATATGCCGGGGATGGACACATGGGAGAACATGCCGGGGATGGACACATGGGAGAACATGCCGGGGATGGACACATGGGATAACATGCCAGGAATGGACACATGGGAGAACATGCCGGGGATGGACACATGGGAGAACATGCCGGGGATGGACACATGGGAGAACATGCCGGGGATGGACACATGGGAGAACATGCCGGGGATGGACACATGGGAGAACATGCTGGGGGGTTTACAGGCTGTAGAAAAAAAAATGTCAAAAGCCAAAAACAGCCGCTGTAAAAACATCCGGTGTGCAGGAGGGCTGAACATGCATTTAACCCTTGAAGTCCTGTGGACCCCACTGCAAGGGTAGATTTGTATTCATTCCTGGTGTTCCGCTTTAAACTGATTCTGTGCCCAATTCAAAGATATCCATAAGGTGTCCTGCATGACTTCCTACACGCTTTTAACAAATTCTTCATTTAAATTGGCAAACAATTGTGCATTACAGTTTGCATTGTGTTCCTTGTATAGATTGTGAGCTAGAGAGAACTTCTTTACCATGAAAGTGCATGCACTGATGATTGTTCCCGGATGACGGAGGAGCTCCAGCCTGGCCCTTTCTCTCTACTCTGTGCTGTGTTTAGCAGGGACCAGATCTCATCAGTCAGTGCCTCAGGCTTTTACATGGTCTATGTCTACAAACACCCCAGTGCCAGAGCTCAGGTTACAGTGATTGTAGAACAGTGCAGGGCAGTCTGGGTCATCAGTTCATCTGAGGAGTGCTGAACACACAGCCAATAGGATGGTAGCATTGGGACACGTTCACTTCTTAATGACCACTCTCTTCCTGGACTGCATCCCCAGCAGGCTTTGATTACACGATTGCTGGGCAATAATGCGTTTTTTTTTTCTCTTCTTTTTTTATTTCTCTGCGTCTGTCTGAGCTGTGGGATGCAGCCTAGTGATTACAATATTTATTTTATTCATTACAGGTACTTACATAGCGCTATTTATAACATATATATCTCCATATATATATCTCTATCTTTTTGAACACAACTGTATATAGAGCTTGTATATGAATATGAGTTAGGGACCTTAGATTGTACGCCCCTTGAGGGTTAGGGACTGATGTGAATGTACAATATATATGTAAAGTGCTGTGTAAATTGACGGCGCTATACAAGTACCTGAAATAAATAAAAAAAAAAATTATTTATATATATATATATATATATATATATATATATTTTTTTTTTTTTTTATTTTATTTCAGGTACTTGTATAGCGCCGTCAATTTACACAGCACTTTACATATATATTGTACATTCACATCAGTCCCTAACCCTCAAGGGGCGTACAATCTAAGGTCCCTAACTCATATTCATATACAAGCTCTATATACAGTTGTGTTCAAAATAATAGTGTGTTGAAAAAAGTGAATAAAGCTCAAAATCCTTCTAATAGCTTTTATTTCCATCCGCACAAATGCATTGGGAACACGACACATTCTATTCCAAATCAAAACATGAAGGAAAATAGATCAAATTTTGTGTTGTTCCTCTAAAAAAAATTGAAGAAAAGTGAATATTAGACGGTTCAAAAAAAATAGCAGTGTTTGTATTCTTCTTTACAAACTCAAACATTCACTATATAAACTGAAAAATGTTTGAAGATTTTGCTTTCCTTTGAATCACTTAATGAATATTTGGTTGTAGTCGCACTGTTTCTGAGAACTGCTGTACATCTGTGTTGCATGGAGTCACCCAACTTCTGGCCCCTGTGATCAGGTATTCCAGCCCAGGATGATTGGACCACATTCCACAGTTCTTCTCTATTTCTTGGTTTTGCCTCAGAAACGGCATTTTTGATGTCACCCCACAAGTTTTCTATTGGATTAAGATCCGGGGATTGGGCTGGCCATTCCATAACGTCAATCTTGTTGGTCTGGAACCAAGATGTTGCACGTTTACTGGTGTGTTTGGGGTCGTTGTCTTGTTGGAACACCCATTTCAAGGGCATTTCCTCTTCAGCATAAGGCAGCATGACCTCTTCAAGTATTCTGATGTATTCAAACTGATCCATGATCCCTGGTATGTGATAAATAGGCCCAACACCGTAGTATGAGAAACATCCCCATATCATGATGCTTGCACCACCATGCTTCACTGTCTTCACAGTGTACTGTGGCTTGAATTCAGTGTTTGGGGGTCGTCTGACAAACTGTCTCCGCCCACTAGACCCAAAAAGAACAATCTTCCTTTCATCAGTCCACAAAATGTTGCGCCATTTCTCTTTAGGCCAGTCAATGTGCTCTTGGCAAATTGTAACCTCTTCAGCACATGTCTTTTTTCCAACAGTGGGACTTTGCGGGGGCTTCTTGCAGATAGCTTGGCTTCACATAGGCGTCTTCTAATTGTAACAGTCCTCACAGGGAACGTCACACCTTCTTTCATCTTCCTGGAGCTGATTGTTGGCTGAGTCCGCGCCATTTTGGCTATTCTTCTATCCATTTGAATGGTAGTTTTTTCTCTTTCTTCCACGTCTTTCAGGTTTTGGTTGCCATTTGAAAGCATTTGTGATCATTTTAGCTGAGCAGTAGCCGATCATTTTTCTGCACTTCTTGATATGTTTTCCCCTCTCCAATCAACTTTTTAATCCAGGTACGCTGTTCTTCTGAACAATGTCTGGAACGGTTAGGGACTGATGTGAATGTACAATATATATGTAAAGTGCTGCGTAAATTGACACAGCGCTATATAAGTACCTGAAATAAATACATGATATATATACATTTCACATCAGTCCCTAACCCTCAAGGGGCGTACAATCTAAGCTCCCTAACTCACATTCATACATACACATACTAGGGACAATTTAGACAGGAGCCACCAATTCACCTACTAGCATGTCTTTGGAGTGTTGGAGGAAACCGGAGTACCCAGAGGAAACCCATGCAGGCACAGGGAGAACATGCAAACTCCAGGCAGGTGGTGCCGTGGTTGGGATTCGAACCAACGACCCGAGTACTGCCAGATGGAAGTGCTAACCATTTAGCCACTGTGCTGCCCGTAGTGTTTAGGGAAGAAAAAAAAAAAGTTGACGATGCTGTTGGTATTAACCAAATGCAACCATATGCCCACTACATACATACTGGTAAAAATTGTCTTTCCAGTTGTGTTTCCATGCACTGTGCCATAGCCGAAGTTGCATATTGATTGCGAGTTGCAGCCATGTAAGGCGCCGGTAACACCTGTGCTTTTTAGGTGGAATACCCCACCATCCGTATGTGAACCAGGCCCTTAGGGAGAGCTAGAGATTTACAGTATGTGAACAACTGCGTGCACAGAGCCAAGCAATAGGCCACCGCAGGACGTTGACAATCGCGTCCTTTCACACTGCTGCGTTTTTAACGCATTTTAAATGTGTTTTTGGTGCATTTTTCTGGATTTTTTACTCCCAACATGCACCTGTGAAGCTTGGACATGTGATCAAAATGCACCAAATACACAGTTTTAGAGAGTATCCTTTGGAAATCAATGGGAGGTGCATTTTTTATATAATTTTGAAACAGGGCACCAAAGATGCAGCATGCAAGATTCTTCAAAATGCCCCGCACACGCAGCGCACTGATGTGAAGAGTTCCATAGGATTTAAAGGTAAATATATTGCGTTTTTTTTTTTTTTTGGTTCGCTTTACAGATGCATTTTGATGCAGCTAAAGATCATCAGTGTGAAACCAGGCCTAATGGTAGCATGCTTGTTCCATGCCAGTGACTCCGTATGTAAGCCAGAGAAGTAGCATTTTCAGAGTCTGGGCAGCAGTTGCAGATCCTTTTATTTTTTGTTTTTGTTCACAGCATTTAAATTAGAACTCCAGCCCAAATATTCAAGTTCTGGGTAGTGCTGGGAAGGGGTTTTTTTTTTTTTTTTTTTTTTTTCTTTTCTTTTTTATTCTGGAAACATTGGATTGGGCCTTCTCATAGGTGTTGCGTAAGCTTTGACTTTCTAGCATACACATTTTAGTTTGAGCTATTGAGCTCTGTAAAAATTGTTTGCATCAGAAAATGGAAAAGCCCCACTTCTTTTAAGCCAGCTAGTTTAAAAGATTGAATCATCAATATTTTAATGTATACTTGGGGGGGGGGAATTATTATTAATATAATACAGGATTTATATGGCGCCAACAGTTTGCTCAGCGCTTTACATTATAGTGGGAGACAATACAGCAACAATACAGTTCAATACAAGAGGGATAGGAGGGCCCTGATCCTGGGAGCTTACAATCTAGGAGGGGTTAATTGTACAATAGGTAATAACTGTGGGGGGGGGGATGGACTGGTTGGAAGCATAGATGATTCCATTATTAGCTGAGAGCAGGATAGGCTTCCCTGAAGAGAGAGGTTTTCAGTGATCGCCTAAAAGTCATCAGAGTAGGCGATAGTCTGATAGATCGGGGTAGGGAGTTCCAGAGCATGGGGGAAGCCCTGGAGAAGTCCTGGAGACGAGCACTAGAGGAGGAGACAAGGGAGCTAATTATGTCCATTACCCGTTATTTTAGGTACTTGTATAGTGCTGTCAATTTATGCATTTATTATACATCAGTCCTGCCCTCAAGGAGCATACAATCTAAGGTCCCTAACGCGCATACATACACATACTAGGGCCAATTTAAACTGGAGGCAGTTTACTTACCAACATGTCTGTGCAGTGTGGGAGGAAACTGGAGTAACCCAGAGGAAACAAGCAGGCACAGAGAGAACATGCAAACTCCAGGCAGGTGGTGCCATGGTTGGGATTCAAAACAATCTCCCTAGTGCTGCCAGGTGGAAGTGCTGACCTTGTAACCTCTTTCAGCTTGTAGTTCCCTATATTAAAGTAGAACTTTTTTTTCCACTTTGGATAGATTTAATGAGGGTTATAATCCCTGTCAGATTTTTTTTTTTTTTTTTTGCCATCTGTGTTTCATTTTGAAGAGTTCCTTTCCTATCCCATAGCCAAACAGGAAGTGAGAGGAAATCCTTACAAATTAATTCCCAGACCACTGGAACTATTGTCCCCATTGGAAGATTTCTCCTCTCTTACTTTTCTGGTGACAGCTCAAAATTTTGGGATTTCTTTCTCTGATGACAGGACAAATAGAATGAGTGAATCTTCTTGCCCTCCAGAGGATTTACTCCCCTTCCTGACCAGGCCATTTTTTTTTTTTTTTTTGCGATCCTGCACTGTTACTTTAACTGAAATTAAATTTACGTCCTTTTTTCCCCACAAATAGAGCTTCCTTTTGGTGGTATTTGATCACCTGTGTGGTTTTATTTTTTGCGCTATAAATAAGACCGACAATTTTGAGAAAAAAAAAAAAAAACATTATTTCCGACTTGCTATTAAACATGTCCAGTAAAAATTAAAAAAAAAAAAAATCAAATTTCGTCATAAATTTAGACCAAAACGTGTTCTGCTCCATGTCTTTGCAAAACAAAATCCCAATATGTGTAAATTAGTTGGTTTACGTGAAAGGTAGAGCGTTTAAAAATGGTGGTATAGATATTGGAAATTTTTTATTTTTTTACTAGTAATGGCGGCGGTCAGCGACTTATAGCGGGACTGCGGCAGCCATTCTGACACTGGGGGGAACTGACTTTGTTTCATTGACATCCCCAGTGACACCAATACAGTGATCAGTGCTAATAAAAAGCGCTGACACTGTACTAATGGCACTGAGCAGGAAGGGGTTAACATGAGGGGTAATCAAAGGGTTAACTGTGTGCCGTTTTACGCTGTGTCCTGTGTGTGTGCTTCACTCTAAGCACACTGCCTTGCATGGCTATGCTATGCACAGCCATGAAAAGCAGTGTGCAGGAGCTGACCAGGGAGAGAACGGTTTTGTTTACAAACAGTTCTCCCTCCGTCAGAGATGCTCAGCAATCGCCAGGCCCGGTGATTGACAGGCGAGGCCGCGAATGATGTCGCAGGTAGGGCACCTTGCGTGCACCCCCTGCCCGGAACTGCAAAATCACTATATATATATATATATATATATATATATATATATATATATATATATATGATTTTGCGCAGCCGTGCCGCCCTGTAGCAGTACTTCTGCTATAGGGTGGATGGGATTACATTACTTGGAACCCCCAAACATATACATTATTTTTTTTTTTTTTTTTTTTTTTGCAGAGGCCCTAGAGAATAAAATGGTGGTCGTTGCAATTTCTGTATGTGGGCCTCTTCAGCACTGGTGTGGTGCTTCAGTTTCAAATCTTGTTGCAAGTTTTTATGTCACACATTATATGCGCTACAATTTTTCAAATGCAATTTTTTTGGTAAAAAAATACACATTTTTATTTAAAAATAAGATCCATAGTTTTTTGCCAACCCAGGCTTTGGATTTAAACCAGTCCTCCACACAGCACAGCCCTGTCTGGCAGGACAGGAGACCTGAGTTTGCTCTATTGCAGTTTCCCGCTGGCCTCTTCTTCTGCTGATACTAATACAGAGCCCATTCTGGAGGACGGCTGAAGTGCTGCAGACAACCCAGGGGAAGGGGATCTCTCTGACCAGACCAGGCTGTATACATCCTTAAGGGGACCTCCGGCTGACATCTTAACATACAAAATGCGTATTATGATTACGCATCTGGTGAGTGCGTAATCTTAACATATTCACGGCACATCACCTGGATAATCGTTAGATATATACGGAGCACTTACCTAAGATCATTTTTGGACGGATCTTCACGATTAGCACTTTATGGACATTCCTGTGATTATTTATTGGAATTAGATATTTTAGCACTATTATGTGCTCACAATTGCCACTTCATTAGCACTTTATTGTGGATACAATTTATTAACACAATATTTGCACTGTCACTTTTTTTACCAGTAATCGTTTGATTCATGCATTTTATACATTTATTGCATATGGTTGCATTATATTGATATATTTGGTTATTTTAGCGCTGCACCTATATTGATTTGTGCTGGGAGTGTGAACTGTAAAGTATTATATAGTGATGCATATATGCAGGAAAAGCCGTCCCACGGAGAGCCGGCATATAAACATATGGCCGGCGGGAAGTAAGTAACACTTATTAGTTTTGTCCTTCCCACAGCCTGCGACTGGACAACAAAAGGACTCATGAGCTCATCTGTTTTGCTCCTGTGCTCAAGTGCTAACATGATGCATGGTTGATTGGAGGAGAGAGCAGAGTAACAGATTGGCTCCTTGTACTGCTCCTCCATTTTTGAGCCCTGATGTTCAGAGCACTGCAGGCTTGATACCAGGTCACGTTCTGGAAGAAACCGTACTTGTGTATATTAACAAAAAAAAAAATCATAATTCAACAATGTATTAGGCTAGGTTCACACTTGTTCAGGTGGTTGCAGGTGGTTGCGCCTGTTCCTGCGGCCAAAACCACCCTCAGAGAAAAATGCGCTGCCCAGGAGATGCCTGGGGGTACCATTAATTATTGTTTATTAAGTTCAGGTACTTATATATCGCCGTCAATTTACACAGCACTTTACATATATATATATTGTACATTCACATCAGTCCCTAACCCTCAAGGGGCGCGCAATCTAAGGTCCCTAACTCTCAATGTACAATCTAAAGTCCCTAACCCTCAAGGGGCGCCCAATCTAAGGTCCCTAACCCTCAAGGGGTGTACAATCTAAGGTCCCTAACCCTCAATGTACAATCTAAGGTCCCTAAACCCTCAAGGGGCGCACAATCTAAGGTCCCTAACCCTCAATGTACAATCTAAGGTCCCTAACCCTCAAGGGGCGCACAATCTAAGGTCCCTAACCCTCAAGGGGTGTACAATCTAAGGTCCCTAACCCTCAAGGGGCGCGCACAATCTAAGGTCCCTAACCCTCAATGTACAATCTAAGGTCCCTAACCCTCAAGGGGCGCACAATCTAAGGTCCCTAACCCTCAAGGGGTGTACAATCTAAGGTCCCTAACCCTCAAGGGGCGCACAATCTAAGGTCCCTAACCCTCAAGGGGCGCACAATCTAAGGTCCCTAACCCTCAAGGGGTGTACAATCTAAGGTCCCTAACCCTCAAGGGGTGTACAATCTAAGGTCCCTAACCCTCAAGGGGCGCACAATCTAAGGTCCCTAACCCTCAATGTACAATCTAAGGTCCCTAACCCTCAAGGGGCGCACAATCTAAGGTCCCTAACCCTCAAGGGGTGTACAATCTAAGGTCCCTAACCCTCAAGGGGCGCACAATCTAAGGTCCCTAACCCTCAAGGGGCGCACAATCTAAGGTCCCTAACCCTCAAGGGGTGTACAATCTAAGGTCCCTAACCCTCAAGGGGTGTACAATCTAAGGTCCCTAACCCTCAAGGGGTGTACAATCTAAGGTCCCTAACCCTCAAGGGGTGTACAATCTAAGGTCCCTAACCCTCAAGGGGCGCACAATCTAAGGTCCCTAACCCTCAATGTACAATCTAAAGTCCCTAACCCTCAAGGGGTGCACAATCTAAGGTCCCTAACCCTCAATGTACAATCTAAGGTCCCTAACCCTCAAGGGGCCCCTAACTCACATTCATATATACACATACTAGGGACAATTTAGACAGGAGCCAATTCACCTACCAGCATGTCTTTGGGGTGTGTGAGGAAACCCACACAGGCACAGGGAGAACATGTAAATTCCTGGCAGGTGGTGCCGTGGTTGGGATTCGAACCAATGACCCGAGTACTGCCAGGGGGATGTTCTAACCATTTAGCCACTGTGCTGCCCACTGGTTGTACACCTCACATATACCCAGTGTAGTGACTGGCCTCAGGTGATACACAGAGATGAAACAAATCCTCCTATGTAAGTTGTACCTGTTTATCTGCTCCCCTCATTAATCCTAATGGTACTCTCATACACTGGAAACAACTCTGCACTATGCGGTTTCCCTGCGGCCTGCATTTTCTGAAAAGGTGCAAGGGTCTTTTCTCTGCATTTTCAGTGAGTACAGCAGCCCATGCAAATGAATGGGCTGCTGTGCACGAGTAACACAGCCGCTGGGAAACCTCATATGTGAACCAGGGCTGAATAAATATGGAGCTGCATTAAGTTGTCTTAAACAGTTTGCCTGGAGACGGGCTTTATCTGGAGCAAAGGCGTGACTAGAAAACATTGCTGATGCTGTATATTGCCTCCTTTTACAACTATCTCATTCCTCTTTCAGGTCAAACGTGAACTTTCTCTTCTCTTGAAGCATTATGTCCTCTATCTTACCTTTCACGCCGCCGGTTGTGAAACGCCTCCTTGGCTGGAAGAAGTCGGCCAGCGGGGCTGGAGGGGAGAGCAGAATGGCCAGGAAGAGAAGTGGTGCGAAAAGGCAGTTAAAAGCTTGGTGAAAAAGCTGAAGAAAACTGGACAGCTCGACGAGCTGGAGAAAGCAATCACCACACAGAGCTGCAATACCAAATGCGTTACGATCCCAAGGTATGTTCGGAGTCAGTGGCCTACGAGGACAGTAAGGCAGTGTCATTGTAGTGAAGTAGCCAATTAACCATCCTGGCAGTGTGTGGTACGGGCCAGACATCCTAACCTGAATGACATTACTAACATATGCTCATGTGACTGGGTGCTGTGCTTACCTTCCCAATGTATAGGAGCTTTTGTGTCAATGACAATGTGACCCTGAAGATGATGTTGCATTATAAAAGTTTGAAATTGTTGTATAAAGAGAACCACAACTTAAAGTGAACCTGTCTCCACATATAACCTTCTAGCATTTGCCAATTACCTGATCGAAAATAACCCGAAGGTGCCTGCACATACATGACAGAAGTGCACACTGAATGGAAATCTGTTTGTGATCCTTATCAGCTGAGGTTAAAGTGAACCAATGGCCAGGTTCTGGACCTTCAAATATTTACATGGTTTTTAACAAGCAGTGCATGAACTTTCAGTTTAAATACATTCTTGTTGCATAAAAACAAAAGGAATGCAGATTCTTATAGTTTCCCTTTTAGAAAATAGCCATATCCTAAGTAGAGCAACTTGCCCCTGCCAGAACGCTGCATAGAAGGACCAATGCTGTCTGTGTAGAAGCAGTGGTCACTCTGCAGAAGTCCAACATGCATCCTTGTGAGTCAAACCTAGAGCTCTCCAGGCAGCAGAGAACATGGGCTTTACTGATTGCAGAGCTGTACACCTGACTCTGCAGAGGGACTGTGCACCAACCTGGATCTAATAACTTTCTTTCAATTATCGCAGTTTGTTTCTTGTTGGATGACCCATTGCTAGCTTTGAATTTACTATTTCTGCTGCTTGAGTCATTTTATGGTCTTTATATGACAAGTGGAAGATGTTACGCATAGTAATACTTTGAGTCTTCTGAAAGACCACAGCTTCCACACACACACATCAAAGGGTTCTTCTCTGCAGCTGCTGTCAGGGACCTGCTTTTCTGTTCAGGCTGTGGCTGTGTTTTAAAGGAAACTGACTTAGACTCTGCACACCTTTTTTGTTTTGATGCACCAGGAATGTGTTTAGCCTATTTAACCTCTTGGCGCCGGCCAAACACAAATGTGCGGCCTCTCAGCGTCTGGGCCTAGATGCCGAGCGGCCGCACATTCGCTTTCTATTAAAAAAACAAAAAACAAAAAAAAAAAAAACGTGCTGAGAGCGTACGCCCAGCACACATGTCCGGACCTTTCCTGATCATGTGGCGGCGTGTCACGGCAGTCACATGATCCTCAACCCCGCCCTCGCCTCCCGCCTTCTGAAACCCTTAAAGGGTCGGGAGGCACAGGCATCAACGGGTTAAACTTAAAGCCTAGTTGGGTTTTAAAACAGGGTCTCACTGACCTCTGTAGCTGCAGGCACTGTGGAGAAATTCAACCTCAAGGATAGTAACAAAGCCACAGAAATGCCAGCCTTCTAATGTTAATAATAAGCTTTTTAGGATGGACTTCACCCAGACTGTAGAATCCGTTGTAAATCTGAGGATG